CTGCCCTCTACATCCCCTCCCCACGTGGGCCAGCAAGCATTGTCCTCATTTACACTGTGGGGAGCGCTCTGGGTGGGCTGGGCTTGGAGTTGGAGGGGTGGAATACTCAGCATTGTCCCTGGGTGACTTCAGCAAATGAAGTCATAAAGCCAGGCTGCTGGGAGTGGGGACTAGGGTGGGCTGAATGGGGCCCCTAGAACGTGAGAAGCCAGGTTAGCCTGGCAAGAGTGCCCGCTGCCTGCCTGTGAGGAGGAAGTTGGCACCCAAGACTGTGGTGACCCTCCCTGCTTCCTCCTTTGCTGTGACTTTCCTGCCAGGGTGGGCAATACAAGGAATGCCTTCAGCATCAGGCCTGAATGGGGTTGGCCAGGGCCTAGTTCCCCTGGCTGTGGAGGCTGACCTTTGGTCCTTGTCCCAGCAGGGGTGGTTTCATGTAGCTTCTTTGGGGTGTGAAGAAAACCCTCTCTCAAGTATGTATCCTCAGAGCCAGTGATGCCTGGGAGGGACTGCCCCGGCCCAGCCTGGCAGTGACGGCGTCTCCAAACCTGCTGGCTGAGAGCAGCTCCATGTTTGGGAGCAGAACCTGCAGCTCTTTGGGGTTGGGAGGTAGGCAGATGGAGTCACTGCTCTGGTGAGTGGGGGTGTGTGAGTGGGAGGCAGGGCGGGCAGGGTGCAGGGACACTGCAGTGCCCAACTGGGTGCAGTGTGGTCCAGGGCAGGCAGATGTGTGTTCTGAGGGGTGGGGCTGGCCAGAGGAAGGGGCAGGGCATCCTGATGGCTGTGTGAGAAGTGGAAGAGAAGATGAGTTGGGGCCAGTTTATGGAGGGCTTTTTTTATCCTAGGTGACAGGCAGCTGTTGCATGGTGCAGGATGGGAGAAGCCACCACCCAAGCTGCATTTTAAGACCGTCACTGGCAGTGAGTGTAGACAGTGGGCTTTAGGGTATGTTTGGAGGCCAGTGTCTTTAACCAGGTAAGAGGTGATGAGGCTGGATGGGGCTGCCTGGGTCAGTGAGTGGGTGGGGCCTCTGGCAGGGCCTGGGTGTCGGGGCCCGGGGGGGGGTGCTGGGGCAGTGGTACCCACACCATTGACTGTTAAGAGCAAGCACCTGGGTGAGGAGGGGGGCCGGAACTCTGTTACTTTGGGACTTTGTGAAGAGTGGGCATGTTTTTGCTTACTGGCCCCCCCACTAAGCACCAAGTTCCCTGGGATAGCACATCCTATATATCTCTCAGACTGCCTCTTGTGCCTGGAAACAGCACAGAAATCCTTTTCCAGGGCATGTGCATGGGCTTTTGCTTTATACCATCCTTATGTGTCTTCTTAGGTACTTTGGAAGCTCCGATGTTTGCTTGTCATCCGTCACAAGCACCCTGAGCCCACACGTCCAGAGTACTTGCTCTCCTTGGCTCAGGAGCCCTGTCTGGCAGCTGTGGCTGAGGCGCCCAGACAGGCGTGCTGTGTGCTCAGTGTTCCATGCCTGCTAGGTGGCTGGCCAGGGAAGCTTCCCAGAGGAAGTGACGTTGGAGCAGGGACTCGGAGGGGCTTCCTCCGGGTTAAGAGGCAGGAGTGTCGGCTGATGTCGTCTTGGCCAGAAGCATGGCTGTGTGGACATGTCTGGTGACCAGGGAGCTTACTGTCTGGAGGTTAGTGTGGAAGAGTGCCAGGGGCAGGGCAACCAAGGTCGGATGCCAGGCAGGATGACCTGGGGTGAGCAGAGTGGGCACTGGTGACCTCCTGCTGACAGCTCCTACCCATTGAGCCCTTCTCCATCCCCAGGTCCACTCTGACCTCTTTCGAGAGCATCCATTGTTAATAGTTTTAGCTTGTATATTTCCTTTCTCCTTGGGCACCCTTTGGCCAAAACGACCAGAACTTCACTCCTCTGGGTCTCAGAAGGGGCTGACTGTGGATTTGCAGGCTGGACCCAGGAACATGTGGCATGGGATTGGAGTTACCTCCCCTTCCCCACAGTGCCCCCAAGTGCACTATCTGGGGCATCCCTTTTTATGTCTACCTTCTTGGCTGACCACACTGACCCCTCCTCCCTTTTTTGTGGGTTCTGCCCCTTGCACTTTGACTCTGCCCAGGACCAGGGTAGCCTTCCTGGTTCTCAGGGGCCATGCTGAGATAGGTCTCAGCATCACCAAGGGAGCTGTGGGCATGGAGCAGGCAGCTCTGGGAGGAGGGTGCTCCTCATCCTTGAGGCTGGCAGGCAGGGCAGGGACTCAGGTGTATGTGTTTGAGGGACTTAGATTGGACCTGGGGGCCTCCAGGTTACTCCCTGGGTTGGAGACCTGCAGACCTGGGTCCTTTGACATTGGGAAAGCCACTTCCCTCTGAGCTTGTTTCCTCTATAAAGTGGGCATCCATGTACTCATTCATTCCACACGTACTTGAGAGTCTGTTCTAGGTGCTGGGGACACTGATAAACTAGAAGTGGGCTCCTGCCTTCAGGGAGCCCAGAGGTGGGGGAGAAGATCGGCATGGCTCAGTATCACGCCAGGTGGCAGATGCCCACAGGGCTGTGAGGAAGTGGAGCTTGGAGACTGGACTTAGGCTGGGGAAGGCCACCATCAAGGGAACTCACCAGATGAAGGTGAGGGACAGCTGGAGCAGGTAAAGGCTATGTGGTGGCCTGAGAGGAGGCAGGCAGTGTGACAAGAGTGTGTAGGGGTTGGCAGGAGCATGGACAGGCCACGGAGGGCCATGTTGAGTGTCTTTGAGGGGGTCACTGACGGGGTCTAACTCATTCTTCTCCTGGGCTAGTGGGACAACTCCAGGCGTTGTTGAGAGCTGGGTGCTGGCTGGGAGAACGGCATGGTGACAGATCAGAAAACATGAACTGCCTGGCAGGTTGGAGGGCTGAAAAGGGGCTGAGAGGCTGGAGCACCTGCCCTCAGCAGTGACCTCCCCCAACTCACAGCCTTGTGGGGCTGGGGGCCTTGGGGTGATGAGGGTGGAGCTTGTGGGTTGGGCCCGGTCACAAGCGTTATCCAGGATGGTGAGAGCCCTGTGCCGGGGTGGACTCCAGTTGGCTGGACCTGCCACCCCAGGCTTATGACTTCAGGCAGGCTGCCTGTCCTCTGAGCTGTCTCTTCCTCCTGAAGGCAGGCTTTGCATGCCCACCGCATGGATTTGGGTGCCGAGGAAGAGGTACACAGGGATGCTATGTCCCACAGCTCCTCCTGCCCAGGCTTGCCTCCTGGCTGGGCTACAGGGAGGTGATGGAGGAAGGAGGCTCATGAGCTTCTCCTCAGGACTTCCCCAGACTGGCCTCCAGAAGGTCCCACCCCGGCCGCCTCCCGTGCAGTGTGCTCGACCACGAGGTGAGTAGCATGGCCTGGGCCGGCTCTGACCCGACCGTGACTCCTCCAGTATTACCCGGGGCCAGGTTTGTGCTTGGGCCCTGGGATGCACGTGTCCAAGTACCGCTGGGGACTCCCATAAGGCCTTATGGAGGCGGTGGCACCAGATGGAGCCTGGCAAGATGGGCAGGAGTTAGACCAGGAGGGTGTGAGAAAGGGGTGAGTTCTCTGCCCCAGAGAGCAGCCTTGGCACGTCTGCCCAGACCAGTGCACAGTGTGACAATGTTGTGGGGGGTGGGTCGGAGCGGGTAAGGGATAGGTTGGGGGGCCAGCAGAGGAGGGTGGGGCAACAGCAGGAGGCTAGACCTGAGAGGACCTCCAGGGCCAGGCGTTGGGCTCCTTCATGGGCAGTGAGAGCAGGATGATGGAGGGGGCGGTCTCTGGCTGCTGTGGGAGGAGACTGGAGGGCTGGGTGGTAAGGGGCTGTGGGGAGAGGGAGGAGCCAGGCAGAGAGGTGGAGTGGATATCGTGGGTGCAGAGGGCAGGTCCAGGGTGGACCCATCTCTTCTCCCAGCCCCCTGGATTGGGGTCTGCCCAAGACAGAGACATTGTGTGTGTGTGCGGGGTGGCAGGTTTGGGAGAGGAATGTGAAGGCTCTTGTCCTCAGGAGACAGCCAAGAGCGGCAGATCCAGAAGAGGTGGTCTGGAGCGAGGTGCAGAGTGGGAAGAGGGGCACCGCGGGCCAGGTGAAGACATCTGGGACTGCAGCTACAGTGCCACATGCAGGCCATTCCCTCTGCGGTTGCCGGGGGCCCCTTTCCCTGCCAGCAGGTACCAGGCTGCTTTGGTGAGGATGTTGGTTCTCTCCTCTCCTTGCCAGTATTGCTTGTCACCTCTGGCAGGGAGCATCACCTCTGTGGACAGACTGAGGCCTGGAGGGGAGCGGGGTGTAGTCAAGGCTGCGTAATGACTGTGGGACACACCTCGTAGCAGTACCCCCCACCCCTTCTGGGCTGGTGGGACAGCGTGGTAACAGATTAGAAAACACGAGCTGCCCAGCAGGTTGGAGGGCTGAAAAGGGCTGTCCCCCCATTGCAGCCTTGTGGGGCTGGGGGTCCTGGGGTGATGAGAGCACAGTGACCCAGACCATCAGCCCCAACTGCAGGCAGAGCCAGCACTCCCAGCTTGAGAGGTCCCTGGCACAGGCAGCCACCTGGGTCTCTGCCATCCTGTCCCCTCCTGCCCAGCATTACACTCCTCACTTGGGGCCTCCCTCTGGAAGCGGCATTTTTCTCTCAGCTCTCTGCTCTGGGAGTTGTTCCTCTAGACCCCCCCGCCCCCACCTGACTTGTGCAGCCCGGGCCTGAGATCACAGTCTGGGCTGGACACAGTGGCATGTATTTTCCCAAACAGAGTGGAAAGCCAGGGGCAGCCCAGGCTCCTCTCCCTGGCTGTCCGCATTTAGTTGGGCAAAGACATTCACCTAGGGGTCAGCACTAATGTAGTCCGTGATTTATTGCTTCTTTAGTCATGTGGGTTATGGAATTCAGAGGAAGGGAGAAAAAACTAATGAAAATAGTGGCTCATCAGGGACTGTGCTCATTCTCTGGCTCGTCCCTTGGCTTCTTCCGAGCTCAGACTGGACGCCGTGAGCTCTGCCTCTTTCCCTGCTGGCCCCCTGGGCCAAGAGGCTCACTGGCTGTGCATCTCTGAAGGCTGCTGTGGGGGCTGGGGAGCCCTCTCCTCGGGCTCACTGGCCATATGCTCACCATCAAAGCCCAGGGTCTCTGACTGCCTCGACACTTCCACTGGCTCCTCCTCAGGGCTTGTCTTGGGCCCAGCCTCTTCTCGTGGCTCCAGCTTGGTGGCAGACTTTTTGTCAGGGGTGCAGTCAGGGGTCCATGAGGACTCAGTGCCCCGGGAGCTCTCCCCCTCCTTGTTGATGGCCACAGAGGATAGGCCTCGTGCCTTGGGCTGCACCCAGCAGTGGCTGAGGATCTCGTCAATGTGCAGCCGCCGGTTGACATCTGGCTGAAGCATGCGGTAGATGAGGTCCTTGCACTCACCCGTCAGGTGCTTGGAGCGGGGGAAGTTGACGCGGTGTTCCTTCTGGATGCGCAGCATCTTCTTAATGTTAGAGTCGTCGTAGGGCATGGAGCCGCAGACCATGATGTAGAGGATCACACCCAGGCTCCAGATGTCATACACCTTGGGCTGGTAGGGGATGCCCTGTAGCACTTCGGGGGCTGCGTATGCCGCGGACCCACAGAAGGTCTTGCTCAATGTCAGTCGGCCGCTGTCATCCCGCAGGCAGCGCTTGGAGAAGCCAAAGTCAGACAGCTTGATGTTGAAGTCCTTGTCGAGGAGAAGGTTCTCGCACTTGAGGTCTCGGTGGACGACATCCAGGTCATGGCAGTACTTGATGGCGGAGGAGAGCTGGTGGAACTTCTTGCGCGCATCGTCCTCGTGCAGGGCTCCCCGGGTTTTGATGAACTCGAGGAGGTCACCCTGGACCCCGAGCTCCATGACGATGTAGACCTTGCCGTCAGAAGTCTCGAAGATCTCGTAGGTCTTGACAATGGAGCGGTGGTTTAGCATGGCCAGAATCTCAATTTCCCGGGGAAGGAATTTCTCCAAGAAGTCTGTTGGGGCTTTCTTGCGGTCGATGATCTTGACTGCCACATTGAACTTCAGGCGCTCAGAGTAAGCGGACTTGACTTTTGCATATGAGCCCTCCCCCAAATTTATCCCCATGATGTAGCCTCTTCGCTTGAGGACGGCAGCGTCATCCATGGTGCTGGGAGCGCCCAGTGCCTCTGGGGCTGCCCTCTACATCCCTGCGGGACATGGGCGGTGTCCTCATTTACACTGTGGACAGAGAGTCCTCTGGGCTGGCCGGCCCGCTGTCCCTGCCTCCTAGAGGCCAAGACTCTGGGGTGGAATGTTCAGCATTGTCTCCCAGGTGACTTCAGTGGGTGAAGTCACAAAGGAGGAGCGCCCTGGGGGAATGAGGCTCCAGCCTGTGCTGCTTGGACTCGGAACCCTGGAAGGCTGGACAGTGGGCTGGAGTGGAACAAAAGCCTGTGGAGAGTGGTCTCATGCCAGCCTGGGATCAGAGGTAGGGGCTGTGGGGATACATGGTTCTGCCCATGCTTCCCAGGCCCAGAGCCAGGACTGCTTGTGGAATGATGGGGTTGCTGATTGCAAACTGGGGCATCCCAGGAATCCCAGGGCTGTATCAGTCAGGGTCCCAGCAGGAAATTAAAGACATACTCAGATTAGGATCATCTGAGAAGGCTTACTAAAGGGACAATTTACAAAAGTGCAGGCAGAGGGTAGGGAAACCACAGGGTGATGCAGTACTCCGAGGCTAGTAGTAGACCCCTGGCCCGCGTGGAAGGAGGGAGGGAATGATCATTGGAACCTGGCTACCAGGTAGAGAGGGCTACCTGGAGAGAGGCAGTGATCTTCTGTGGAGGGAGGGAAAGAGCCAGGCTGCAGTGTCCCCAAAATGGGGAGAGGGAGGGATTCTTGACCTCTTTTCCCTCCACTTTCCTGCTGGGGCTTGAAGGTGGTAAGCCCACATAGGCAGCCCCCCAGCAGGGTGGAGAGCATGGAGGTGGATAGGAGGCCCAGTAGTCGCTGCTGCTGTTTAGAAAAGCCAGGACTGCTCTCTCCCTGCACATTGTGGCTGGACTTTCCACCTTCCTGTGCTTCTTGTTCCTCATCTGAACCTCTGTGGGCCTGCTTCTCTGGCAGTGGCTCTGTGGGGGACAATTGGCAGGAACTTCTGCTCTTGGCTTTTGAGTCCCCTCCCAGGGCCTGCCCAGCCCATATCCCTGGCTGGGCTCCTAAAGCAGTCCAGGGCAGAAGGCTGGGCCTGGATCCCGCTCTGGGCGCGAGCTGCTTGCTCCTGGGTATGTGCCTTGATGGTAAAAGCAACAAGGGCGGCACCTGGGCAGGGGACATTGTTTCCTTGTGCAGCGGAGCCCCTCTGCTGTGATAGGTCCTTTGTCCAGCACATTTTCCAGGCCTCACCCAGGGTTCAACCTTGGCCTTACCCACCTTGGTTGAGTGGGTGCCCCTCTCTCACATGCCCCCAACTCTGTAAGGGGCATGGGAGGGCTGCTCCTGGGCAGTGAGGCTGGAGGGCCACTAGGCTGGGATGTGCACTGTCCCCACCAACCTTGGCCCTTCCCCCTTTCTCAGCTCCCCTTTCCCCCAGCACTGACACCCTTTGGCAGGCCTTTCATACGTGGCTGGTGGTCCTTTGGATGTCTTGCTTCTCTCCCGCTGACGACACCCCCATCTGCAGCTGCCCTCCCACATTCACCTTGTTACTGGTGACAGGTGTGCACTAGCAGCATTGTTCCCAGAGCTGTTCAGCTGTCATCCCTGCTCCAGCAGCTGCTAAAGACACGGGGCTTTCCTCCATGCAGATTTGGCCTGTGGTGGAGGCAGTGCCCTTCTTCCGGTGGCCAGCTTTGCACCAGTCTCTTTAGGATCTGGTAGCTCTCCTTGTTTTGTTTCAACTCCCTTGGGCTATTTCCTCATCTGTTTGCAACATTTTCACTTGTGTGTGCCTGTGAAGCCACACTTGCCTGTAAGGGTCTACCCTCCTCCCCTAACCCATAACCTCCTTAAAGATAGCCCAGACCCCTCCAGCTTGCCTCCTCCCTCTGCAGCGGTTTGTCCTTAAAAAGACCACTGTAGGGAGTACCCAAGGAGCCTTGGTGGCACAGTTGTTAAGTGCTCGGCTGCTAACCAAAAGGTTGGCCGTTCGACCCGTTCCACGGGAGAAAGATGTGGCAGTCTGCAGTCCGCTTCCGTAAAGATTACAGCCTTGGACACCCTATTGGGCATTTCTAACTGTCCTTTAGGGTCGCTATCAAAATCGACTGGACCGCAACGGGTGACAACGGGTTTTTTTTGTTTAGGGCGCACCCTTTGGCCGCTGACTAGACCTGCAGGTGTGCAAGGTGCGAAGATCTTCCAGTTCCAGGGTCTTGGTTTATTCACCGCTCTTGACTCCCTCCGCGTCCCGCCCCTTTCCCTTCACGCTCTGCCCCGTGGGCCCTACCCGGGCTCACGGTGTCCTTTGCCCACAGACCCCCGCGGCCCCACCCCTCTGTGTCCCGCCCGTTTCTGTGCCCGTCACTGTGGTCCCGCTCCCGCTGCCCTTCCCCTGTGCCTTGGGACCCGAAGCCTTTGGGAGGCCCTGCCGCTCAGGTCCCACCCCCGAGCCCCACAGTTCTGTTTAGCTAATACTATGCTACACTCCCTGTAGTCCCACCTCTTCCGTTCGGGCACGCCCCTTAATCCCCGCCCCCGCCGACCTTCCCTTAGGCCTCGCCCCTTTCGGGCATTGCCGTTCAGGCTCCGCCCACCGTTCAGGTTCCGCCCCCTGCTCAGCCAATAGTCCGCAAGCAGTTGGGAGCACGGCCCCCGTCCCACCTCTGTGTCCATTGGCCCACGCCGGCGTTGCGGCGGGAGGCGGGGAGGCGCGGCGCGGCGCCGAACAGGACAGCCGCCATCTTGCGCGGAGCCGGAGTCGGAGCCCGAGGCCGAGAACGAGTGTGCTCGGGAGTTGGCGGCCTAGCGCAGCCGCAGCCCAGCTGAGCCCTCTCACGCCGCCTCTCCGCGTCCGTCCCCGGCGCCCAGCCCCTCAGCCCGGCCCAGTCCGGCCTCCCCGCGGGGTCACGCGGCCGCCCCGGGGACGATGAACGGAGGATAAATGGTGCCCAAGGCAGACAGCGGTGCCTTCCTCCTGCTTTTCCTGCTCGTGCTCACCGTCACCGAGCCGCTGCGGCCAGGTGCGCGGCGCGGTGGGGGCGGTGTGTGGGGGCGGGGGCGCGGCCAGGGTCTTCCCGGGACCTCCTTCCACCGGAAAGGAGTCGGCTGAGGCCTGGCTCTCAGGCAGCCGCGCGCCCCCCGCCCGGTGCCAAGCTGTTGAGTTTTACCTGGATCCAGACGCCTTAGCCATCATGGAACTTTGTTCTCGGGGGATGTTCCCTTGGGATCCACATCTATTGAGAGCTGCGTGTTTTGAGATTGATGAAAGCGAGAATGATTTGCATGACTGGATTTAACTTCTAGGGCCTGGCAGTTCTATAGACGAGGAGCTGCGACTCTTGGGCGTGCCCTCATTGCCGGTCCAGCGTCTGGTGTCAGGCTGGGGCGTTGGGGGCGAGAGCGCAGCTCGGGGAGACACCTGGTTTCGTATGCTTCCGCCCAGCAGTGGCTTCATGCCAGCGTCTCAGCCCTGGCAACTCCTCGGCTGTAAAGCTGTAGCTCTGTCCTTACTGTCACTCAGGTGTTGCACTAGAGAAGTACTCAGCACAGAGGCGGGCCCAGAGGAAGTACTAGGAGTCCGCGAAGCATCCTGTACCGGAAGCAAGCTTCCTCAGGACCCACTGACCCGTTGCCTTGCTGCTGTGTCGCTAGAGCTTGAGCAGTGCCAGGCACTTAGGTGTGCTCTGTTTATGCCACGAATGATTAAATGTTTCTGGAACTCCCCTCGGAGCTTGTGTTCTTATGAGCCTGTGGTGGAGAATCAGAAGGCTTCTGATAATTTTTAACTCTACCTGTTCCTGATGTATCCCTCCTCCGTTGAACGGCGCCCAGACAGTCATACAAATCCACCAGATGCAGGACTGATTGATCCAGGAGGCACAGTGCTTGCCTGGGACCCACAGTACTTTAGAGGCCCACAAAAGCGTTTTACTTGAAGTCAGAAGGAAAAAACTAATCTTTGGTCGAGCAAAATGTTTTAATATATGTATTAACACATTCATTTTTATATCAAAAAGTGTAGTTCTAATATTTTTAATGGAGGAAGGGGCCCTTGAAGGCAGAAGTGCCTAGGGCCATATGGTGTGTAGAGCCATGGTGTGTGTGTGTGTGGGTGAGGTTTGTATCTTTGCCATTTGCATGGAATGCTCTGCCTCCTCCCCAGTGTCTACCTGGTAGCCAAGGCCATGGGCCCATGCTCAACCCAGAGTCTCCAGTGATCCTTTTCTTGTTCCACTAGTAGAGCTGGTTGCTCACTGCTTTCTGAGTGGTGAGATAACTGGTTGTGAGTCTGCCTTGGGAGGAATGGAAGCCAGGACAGAGGCACCTGTGGTGGGGGTACGATATGGGCTCTGTGGGTTCTTGTGATTAAGTGCTCACTGCAGGTATAAACCTGTGGAGAGGTAAAAGTCGTCATGTCTTGGGTCCCATGCAAATCTGGTCACTGGGCTCTGAGAGGTAAAGCCACCTGTCTCTCTTGGGGTCCACTGATTCCAGATCTAGCATTTCCTGCCTGGATGGTACAGGTGACCAATGTCCCAGACTCCTTTTCCCTCACCAGTCTGTCCACAGAATTGTCAGCTGGCCAGCAGCAATTCAGAAAGCATCTCTTAGTGCGCGCTGCATGCCCAGCATTAGGAATACTCAGATGATGGAGAAAACAACCTCTCTGTTTAGGATTGTTTGCTTTGGAAGCAGAGACCAGCTGTAAATCAGCTGTTTCACTACTGTGTGTTAAGCCCCACTAGTATGGGAGCGCAGAGGCCAGTCATGCAGTGACCAGCCATTTGTACCTGGGGAAGCAGACTTCCTGGGAGACATCACACTTCGGTCTGAGTTAGGGGGAGTAGCTCTGGTAGAGGGAGCCGAGTAACCCTTTAATTCCATGAGTCTCCAAATGAGAACTTTGCAGCAGCCCCTGGGGGTGTCTTGAATGGCCGTGGAAAACCCTGGCTCCAGATGGCTGCGTGACTTCGGTTGGCAATGAGGGCAGGTTTCCCTCTGGTCAGATGTTTGTCTCGTGTTGTGTGTGTCCCTTCACATGCTCACCCTGTGTCCTTCCTGAGAGTGCCAGGCAGCGGTCTGCCCTGCTGGTGCTGGGCGGTGGGAGTGCTTTTCTGGCCATAGCCTGGGTTCTTTCCATCAGGGATCTTGGCTTACAACCACACTTGAGTGTGGGTAGTATTGACATTTTCACTACATTAAGTCTTCCAAGCCATGAGCATGGGATGTTCTTCCATCTCTTTTAGTTTCTTGCAGTAGTGTTTTATAGTTTTCATTGTATAGGTCTTTTACATCCCTGGTTATGTTTATTTCTAGGTATCATTTGGGGGCTATTGTAAATGGTATTGTTTTCTTGATTTCCTTTTCAGAGTTCTCTTTGGTAGTGTAAAGAAACCCAACTGATATTTGTATGTTGATCTTGTAACCTGCTACTTTGCTGAATTCTTCTATTCCATCCAGTAGCTTTCTTGTGGAATGTCTGGAATCATGTCATCTGCAAATAAAAATAAAACAAATTAAAAAAAAATGTATTTTAGGCACTTGAATACTGCCAGGCACACACAAAATGAGCACTCAGAAATCTGATTTTGCTGTGGCTGTTTCTCTTGAGGTAAACTAGCCTTCTCACCCAAACAGCAAACACACTGTGGCTGTGATCAAAATGTGGTATGAGTGTTGGATGAAACTGCTGGTAAATATTACATCACATGCGGTATAGCTATTTCTCCACTTCTGCCCCATCTTCTTTTGCCCTGGTTTTACTCCCCTCACCCATAAAATATAGAGTGATTGCAGGTTGCTGTGCTTTTCTTGAAGGTGTCACTGACTTAACAGAAGTGCTTGATGAACCTGCCTCTCTTCCATCATTTTCTAGGGTCAGATCGTTTTTTTTTTTTTTTAACAATTTATTTTTGTTATTGTTGAGAATATACACAGCAGAACATACACCAGTTCAACAATTTCTACAGGTACAATTCAGTACATTGATTACATACTTCAAGTTGTGCAACTATTCTTACCCTCGTTTTCCGAGTTATTCCTCCCCCTTTAATAAAAACTCCCTGCACCGTAAGGTTCCTATCTATTGTTTTGAGTTGCTGTTGTCAGTTTGATCCTATATAGACGCGTCTTAAAAGAGCACAATGCTCAAGGCAGCAGATCCATTTTCTTAGGGCCTCGCTTCTAGGATAACTATAATTTGGCTTTAAGCAGGGCCTTCTCCCCTAAACATCCTGCCTAAGGGGAAACAGGAGGGAAGGGCAGACAGACCAGTGTCTTGATTGGACAGTCAAGGATAGAGGTAACAGGTGATAGGGACATCATCACTTGGATTTAGAAAATGCTTGTTATTTATAAGAAAGAAATACAAAAGTGTGGATATTGCCTGTCATTTTGTCCTGGCATTTTCCAACATCAGCCTTATTGCCGCCTTGCGGATCTGAGAATGACTGCCACGCCACCCTATATGAGGAGCCATCCACCGACACAAGGCGAGCTGGTCGGCTGCTTTTCCCTGTCATGCCTCCCCTGCAGGCAGGCGAGTGTGGGGGCAGGTGGGTCTTGCTCAGATTCTGCAGTCAGATGTCTCTTCCCCTCCTGTGTGGAGGAGTGACATAGGGGTGGAGTGTGACTCCAGTTCAGTGATTCTCCACCCGACCTAAGGGCTACTTGGAAATGGGTTTGGTGGTTACAGTAACAGGCCAGGAAGCAGGGGAGGGAAGGAGCTATAGGTATTTAGGGAGGAACATCAAAGAATTTGAGGAGCCCTGGTGGTGCAGTGATGAAGTGCTCGGCTGCTAACCAGAAGGTCAGTGGTTCGAACCCACCAGCTACTCCGTGGGAGAAAGATGTGGCAGTCTGCTTCCGGAAAGATTACAGCCTAGGAAACCCTATGGGGCAATTCTGCTTTGTCCTGTAGGGTCGCTGTGAGTTGGAATCGACTTGACACCAGTGAGTTTATCAGAGAATTTGTGGACATATTTTTAAACCACAGCAGGAGTATCTTTGTGTTGAAAACATTTTGCCTCTCCAGGCCCCATCTGGCAGTCAGGCTTGTGTCCCCTGGTGGGTCCCCTAGGGACTTTGTCTGGCCAGCCACCAGGGAGATGCTACACTGCCTAAGTCCTCTACCTTCTGGATTAACAAAGAGGAAATGGGTCAGAATTGGCAGGTTTGGGTCCAGCCATGGAGGGAGGTTGGGTTAGCCACGCCCTGTATCAGAGGCAAGATCTGGAGCAATTGAGTCGCCCCAGATATTTGTTTCTCTGTGGTTTTAAATGTAGTAGTTTTAGGCCTTCCTTTAATTTTTGCTAATAAAACTTCCAGTTCTTTCAGTTTTCTGTAGACCATAAGCATCTCATTCCCTGTTTGAACTCTCGGCCCTCATGTATAAGAATCACTGGCTACGTGGTCTCTTGAGTTCTGGCAGCTGGAAGTTCAGATGCTGGTGCCCTACCCACTCCAACCCTGACTGTCGCCTGCCAGAGAACGCTAGTGAGGCTCCGTAGCATTGATTGGGCGTCACTGTTGAGACATAGTGACAGCCGAGCTTTGCCCAGCCTGCTGGCCCCACCCCTCTTGCCCT